CCCCACTTTCTTCACTTCAAGCATGAAGAATGGCTTTGAAAAGTTAGGCAATATTGTCCAAGATTTCATAGTGAAATCCATTGATAGGCCTTAATGACAGACCCTGCTGCATTGAGTCTAAAACTAATAACTATATGGGTACAGATACTTTCCTGATTAGAAATTACATTTATTTGTTCCTGAGATGTCATTTCTTTTTTCTTCTCTTCTTAGCATCTCCACAGCATTATAAGACATGGACCATCTCTCCATGTTAGTGTTAATGTATCAAGTTTCATGGAGGAATATACTCAATTGGTGGACTTAGAGTCAGGAGCCATATGTACAACTGTTAAGCACAATCTACATGATCTTTCTGCCTCTGAAGGACATGTGTTCTTGGTCAAGATGAATGGTAGGTTCTATTTCCTAGTATGTGGCTCTAACACTGTCTTTATAGAATGATGTAGCAGAACTATGAAATAGCATAAATTATATTAATATCTATCATTTGGGGACTCTGCTTTCCGTAAAAGGCTCGATTATCTTATTAATATTCCCTCCAGGATATCATCCAGAAGGCGCCATGTGCAAGATCACTTGCTACCAATGTTTGGTTATTGCAGAGAAAAAAAAATCCATCAAATGACAGTAGAGAGAAACAGATACCTTTTGGAGTTGGAAATACCAGAATTGGGTATACAGGAGCTATGGAATATTTAAAAAATGTGGAGCAATTAAGAAGTATACCTTGTCTTACAGACTTACCAAATGAATGTTAGTAATTTGTGGGACAATTGGTTAGATGGTTCCTCAGAATATTTGCTATAAGAATGTCTATAACCCAGAATCTACCAAAATTCTACAGAAGCAAATATTATTCTCATTTTTTCAAAAAATACTTTTCCTTTCAGAATCCTCTTATTTATATAGGATCAACAATCTTTTGTTACAGCATTACAAAAGCAATCCACTCTCTTCAAATGCTATAGACCTCATTGCTCATTACCAAAGTTTATGAGAAGACAGATTCCATCTTTGTTTGCCCAGAGCTAATATAGGCTCATACCTTCTTATGGCTTAAGAGATCACAAAGTACATAAAAAAAATAGTATTCTAAGCACTTTCCCCTTCATAATTTTTAGAAGACTCAATTTTTTTCATCAACTTCAGTCACAGGAAGGAATGAAGGACACTGTTTTTGTAGTTCTCATTCTAAAATACCCACCATCTCGATGCTCTCTGCATACAATGTCAAATTGATAATTTCATGCTTTCTTCATGTGATTCTTTCTGACACATTCATTCTCTTTACATCAAAAATGTAGTCATCAAGCATTTTTTTCATATCTTCCCCATGCTAATGGCCACCAATGCGTCCTTCTCCTGTCCATGTCCTTGATTAACTAAATTATCATAGCTTTAAGGATTTGCCACTCATCTATTGCCATCATTACTCCCCCCCAAAACTGTCAATCACCATTCCTTTCCCACTGCTGTCCCAAGATGGAGGAGTGTCTAAATGCCCAGATATGTTAAAGAGTGTTTTCAAAATACTACCAAAGCAACATAAGAGAGTCCAGCTAGGCTTGAAAAAATAAAGGGAAGAAAAAATTACTTATGATATCTTCTATTTCTTGTCTATTAATATCTACAGGCTTGAAGAATAAGAGCAATAGTAATGGTATTTGCCACCACACAATAGACTACGTCTTACTAACTGGGATACTTTAAAGAAAGGTGTGTTGATTAATCTTGCTTGTTCTTTAACAGGTAGATTGTGGAATTAACTAAGAGATATGTTTCTGGGCGTGTCTGTGAGGGTGATGTCTAGAAAATCACTAGTGAGGAAGATCCACCATTAATATTTGGCACCTTTCAAGGAGTTGTCTAGATAGAAAGAGGTTAAAGGAAATATCAGTGATTTCTGCTTTTGTTTCTTTCTGCAAGAACATATCTATCCTCCTCTTCCTCCTCTTCTTCCTCTTCCTCCTCCTCCTCCTCCTCCCCCTCCTCCTCCTCCTCTTCCTCCTCCTCCTCCTCCTCCTGCTGCTGATGTTGGTGGTGGTGGTGGTGGTGGTGGTGATTGTTGCTATTGCTGCTGCCGCCAGCATTGATGTGTTTGAACTTCTATATGAGCTGAAGACCAGCATCTTGCCAGAGCTTTTCCAGGCCTTCCACATCCTTACATTGAGACTTCTGAGGAACAATTCTATAATGGCTGAGCAGCTATTAGGTCCAAGTCTCTGCAGTGTGCAGAAAGTCACTATTGAGTAAGCCATTCTAGTAAACACAGTTTTCTAAATGTTATATAATTGAGACTTTCCCTAGTGAAATTATCACAAAACAAACAAATAAACAAACAAACAAACACCATGAAGAAACAAAAGAGGATAGCTTTGGATCACCAGTAACTTAGGAACTATGACCATGGAAAGACTATGACAGAAAGAAGCAAAATACATTTTCCAGTTTTGATGGTAGTTTGGCCATACATGATTTTTTATAAACTACAATTCTCTATGCTAAGCACTAAGATGTGGGTGTCCATAGAACATCTTGGGCTAGAACATGCAAAAAGACAAGTCTTGGCCTTAGATAGAAACAAGTCTAAGTTCCAGCTGACAATCTATTCCAACTCCAGCCATTCTTATGGAACATCAGATGTCAGAAAGAGTCTGGAAACTATCATCCATCATCTGCATACTGTCGTACACTTCAGTATTTCCTGTCTTACAGACAAATTATCCAGATGTCAAACTAATTTTTTCAGTTTCCACTTGAAAGCTTTGTGTCACCTAGGTCTAGTCAACATTGAATCAATTTTCTTCCTTTTCTCTCCAACAATAGAAAGACTATATTTCTGAGAACATTGTGCTGTTATATATTGAGGTCTGAACAGAGCATGTGGTTACTGTGACATTCTAGTTAAACCATAATGCTTCCAATATATGTGTTCTATTGATTTTACAGCAGTGTTTTTTATTTCTTTCTCTCTATCATACATCTTCTCTCTCACAGAAACTTCTTTGAGAGAAAGTAGGCTCTTAAGTATTCTCTAATTCTTCATATCTTAAGTACTATGTACCATATATATCTTACCTAATTAACAGTTACTTAATGAAGTTATTAATTGACAACATTCAGATGATTAAAATTTAAGAAATATATTACAAAGATAAACTAAGATAAACAAAATAAACTAGTATCTAAGGTGTTAACATGTGTGTGTGTGTGTGTGTGTGTGTATGTATAGATAGGTATGTGGTGTGTGTGTGTATGTGTGTGTGTGTTTGTGTGTATAAAGGACATAGGACAGCCTTGGATTTCATTCCTCCTTAGAACCTGTCCCCATTACATTTTGAGACAGAGACTCATACAGGTCTGGGACTCATCAATTAGGTTGGGATGGCTTGTTAATGAACCTCAGGGATTGGACTGTCTTTGCCTCTCCAGTGTTGGAGTGTCCTTGCTTGTCACCATAACATTTCATTTTCTTTAGTATGAACTCTGAGAATTGAACTCTGGTTCTCATGTATGTATGGTAAGAACTTTACTGCCTTAGCTTTCCCCCTGCCCTTGCCCTCAGTATGCTTCATCATATTAAACACTCTCTAGGTTGTTGGGATACTTTAAAGTCACTGTCACAAAGAGTGAAGGCTACTTAAGAGCAGAATTATGCTATTTAGTCTTCCATAGTTATTCAATACTCAAACATCAAATACAAGATTAATAGCAAATAAAGGTTTTACCAAATATAATGAAGTATTCCCTCTAATTTTGGCAGTTATAGTCTTACCTCATACATTCTCCATAGATTCCTCATATTTTTCCGAAAGATGAATGTACTTCATTTCCAATTCTGTTGTTGTTATTGTTGTTGCTGTTGTTGTCATTACATCCCCAGAGTCACACTAATCCTCCTTTACAAATCTCTACCATGGTTATTTTTATCAGTGACTCTTCTTTACCCATTTTCTCCTTCACCAATTGGCTGTTGTCTAATCCATTTTCCAGATGTTGATTCAAACATTCTTAACTCAAGGAAGTCTTTGGGGAACATTAATGCCTTCAACACAATTGAAATTCCTCTTGTGTATGTCCCTATTACCTTCAGCTCTCACTTTCTACTTTATGTGACAAATTTACTGGAGTAATATCAATGACTTACTTCCTATTCCTATGCTATATTCTAAGCATCATGGAAGCAGAGACCCTGATATTCTGATTCATCCCAAGACCACCAATGCATAGGATAATCCTTAACAGAAAGGAAATTACTTAATAAATATCTGAAACTGACTAAATGAACTAATGTCTGCCTTTCCTTTTATTTGCCACAAATATACTTTTCATTGGAAAGAAATTTACAACAGACTTGTAAGAGGAGCAGAGAATATTTTAAGCATATAATGAATAGCAAATGACTCCTTACTTATACAATATGAAAATAATTAAGAATACTCATTATTGTAAACATAAGCATTCTGTTAACAGTTACCATTGTTTCTGGTATGGAATTTTCTTAGGGGATTTTGTTTATGTGAAAAGGACTTTATTCTACTGGATAAAATATGAACCAATATTTATCAACAGAAGTGTTTGACAATGAGATCTCAAGAATCAGTAGAAATGCCAATTACAGTGAGAAGGACAGGCTGAAAAGAGTATATTCCTGGCTGGGCAGTGGTGGCACACGTCTTTAATCCCAGCACTTTGGAGGCAGAGGTAGGTGGATTTCTGAGTTTGAGGCTAGCCTGGTCTACAGAGTGAGTTCCAGGACAGCCCGGGCTATAAAGAGAAACCCTGTCTCCAAAAACCAAAAAGAGTACATTCTTCATCCGTCTCCACTTCTCTTGATATGCAAGAATTATGCTCCTGTTCTTTATTCTGAACAATCTAGTAAAATTCAATTTACTTTTTCAATTTGTCTCTAGCCAGGCTTCCTTCTGTCAGCCATGCAAATATCTCAATGCTGTCCATGTAAAGTCACAGGAAGAGGAAAACGGGAATGAAATTACCTGTGCATTTGCGATCCGTGTCTTCTTTTTTGGATCCACTAATTGTCAACTTGCAGTTGAAGTTTTCTTCCCAATATTCAGCAAACCATACATTTCTCCTGTTGTTTTCAAGTGTCCGGGATGTGAAGTAAGCATCAAATCCTAAACAGAGTTAAATGAGAAGGTTAGAAATCATGAAGATCACTGCTACCAAATGGAGAAAGAAAAAAAGTAACCTGGGGTAGGCTGTAGGGTAGAAGATTTATTATGTACACACACAAACACACACAGACACACACATGCACAGATGCATGCACACACACATGCACGCACACACACATATATATGCATACACACATACACACGGATTTATGTATATAAACATGTTATATATATTATTACTTGTATATATGAATACATATATGCACAAATATTTGGTTAAACTGTAGGAAGATCTCTAATTCGATAAGCAAGGGAGATCTATAAGCACCATTTTCACTGAAGACCCAAGGAATGATATAAGCAAAAAACAGCTTTGCATTTCTAGTAAGCTAAGCCACGGACAAATGTCTTTAGTTGTGATGATTAATGCTATCAACCTGAGGGTGTTGACTCATGAAGGCGATAAATCTCTGAGCATCCCAAAGAGAATTGTCTTATTAGATTAGTTGAGGTAGGAAGACTCATCTTAACTGTGGGCAGGACCATTCCTTAGACCAGAGTTATAGGCAGAATATAAAGAATAAAGCAAGCTGAGCACTAGCATTCATTGTCCTCTGTCTCTGTGGATGCATTATGACCAGATGCCTCCCTAAAAACCTCCTTGTATACATAATGGGCTGTATTCAACTATGAGCTCCCATGAACCTTTTCTTCTTTAACTTGCTTTGGTCAAGTATGTTGTTGTGGCATTAAGAGAACTTATTAATATACTAATTTTTTTTCATCTTCCAATAGTAACAGGTGTTTCAATTCTTTCCTGGTATTAAAGAAAGCATAAGCTGAGAAAAAATTGTAACCTGCCAAAAGTCAACCATTATGGTCTAGTCTTCATACTTGACTATTTCAGCTACTGGTTAGTGAATAACATTTCAAGGCTTTTCTTTTGGTTTTGTCCCATTATGGAATTGGTTTACTAGTCAAAATGGAAATAAGTTGATTCCAAAGAGGCCCAGGTAAATAAACATGTCACTTTGAAGTTACTCTTAGAACATCTACATTAGCAAAGACATTAGAGCCCAAGTACCACACAATTCTCTGGCTGCTGTTTCTGGATTGAATACTTCAAACAAATACTGCAATGGAGCTATGAGGTCTCATGAGAAAGTACAAACAAACAAACAAACACCAGGAAAGATCAGACTCAGAATCAGAATACCACAAGGACTAGGTTTGTATGCCAGTTCCATTAATGTCACTACATCACAGAAACCCAGGGAAATCTACACTTAGCACTGCTGATCTCCCTTTTGTCTATTTGTAGAAATGAAGATGGCACCATCCCCTTTTGTCACTCTACACAGTGACATCAGTGGTAGTGGAAAGAATCTAGAAACTTAGAAAGTTTAAGACCAAGAATCATAGGCAAAGATGGACCTACCACCACATACTTAAAATATTCAGTTCTTCCATATGCCATAAAAGATGTGTCAGTGGTTACGATGACAAAAACAGAAAGCATTTTACATACATTTTTCCTTAAGTGTTACATTAACTTTAGGCAGCAGCTACAATTCAGAACTATACTTCAAAGTCAGAAATGAAGATCTAGAAGAATTTGATAGTAGGGTGCTTAGTTTTTTTTTTTTTGTTTTTTGTTTTTTTATGCTCATATGTTTTATTAGACTAAACAAAACATGAAACAATAATACAAGAAGTAAGGTGATCTGATTTTCTTCTTCCTATAACTCTCCAAATACATTTGAGGACACTGAGTGAGAATTCCCAGAAAGCAGCTGCGGGCATAGACAAAACTCCAGTGACTATGAACAATTTGGAAGCTACTGATCTGTAGCCTCAAATTACAGTTCCTTTGGTAGGGTGCTTAGTTTTAAACATCGATAACTTACATATGCTATAAGGTAGGCTTATATTTTGTTGTCATAATCATTTGTTCACCTGACCATGAAAATGGAGACCAGACAAATTGAAGAAGGGGAAATCTGGGTATTTATTTTCTTTCTTATGTTCAGGAGATTTTGCACACCCACCAAAGATCTAGAAAAGTCCAATGGAGTTTGCTATTATTCACAAAGCATGTCAATTTCTCTCTCTTTCTAGAAGATGCCCCATTATGAAACAATTTATGCTATAGAGGAAACTGGTAGTTCAAAAATGAGAAGAAAAACAATTATGTGGTCTGGTGATAAAATGAGGAACTAAGGCAACCTGCTACATGCTTCTGTGGTCTGATAGTGCTGGGGTAACCCAGGTTCAGAAAACATGTCTTCTCACAGAACCCAAGAGGCACAGGCAGAGATCAAATGGTGTCATCCACGAAGGCCATTCTTGTAGCCTTGCTTTTGTTTGCACAAGTCAGATTTCCTTACAGGACCTGGCAACTTAGTTCCACATTTTACTGGCATCATGAGAGAAGACAAATGGATTGTTGGTAGTTCCCTGTACTCACTTCCATTCAGAGAGAAGGAACCTAACCACACACACACACAAGATCTTCATGACTTCAAAGAATCCTGTTACAGTTGTATGTTTACAGTTCCTGACAGTACTCTTAGAAGCCCTTTCAGTAAAGTGTACTTTATAGCTCCTTACAGGTAGATAACATGCTTCTGACATGGATGAAGGCCAAGGTCTCCCTTCTCCTTAAGCATTCAAGTCCCTACCCATAGTCTATCATTATAATTTTAGCAGCCTCAAGATTCTATGTACCAGGGCTCACCATAAAAGAGGCTTAGTGACCCAGTTGGGGAAGAAAGGTAGGGATAGTATCACATACTAAAATAACTAATAACCATTCTTTGCCTACCTACCTTTTTCTCTTTTGTGTGTGTGTAAAATAAGTCTTTTCCACATCTCTATTAAATTTCAGAAGAAACATTATCTGAACATATATATTAGTACAATTAAGACCATTACCAGAGTGTTGAAATATAACCCAAGGCACCAAATCCCACAGTTTTGAATCAAAGGAAACAGAATCAAAGTTTTATTAAAGGAAAACTATTATACTTTTATACAAAATAGATAGAATTCTTAGTGTGAACTTTCGCCTTTGGTTGAACTGATAAATTTAATTTCCTAAATTTCTTTCTGGACTACTCTGAAGCAGTGTCCCACTGGTATATGTGAAGCACAACTGCCATCATATGTGAAGTTAATTCTAAATGGAAGGGAGAAGGAACAATGTTTCAACAGGCATTACATACTGTTCTTCCCAGGTTCTCTCCTCTTTGAAATGAGGTGATGGCCTCATGTATCTCCTGAGATTATGGAGTGTACTCAACAGAAGCATGATTCATCCTGGGAATCATGATTATGAAAAGGTCCTTCTGGCTGAAATGGGAAGGAAGATCTCCCTAAAGGGTGCTATGAGGAATGCTGTCAGGATGTCATTAGCAGGTCACAGGCCAGAAGGCAGCTTTACCTGCTATCTAAAACATCTGAAATATGCAGCAGCCAAGACTGCTAGAGTTGCTACTCAATTCTAAGAAATGCATTGCAGGTCAGAGGAATATACTCATCAGAGCCGGTGGCAAGCAGCACCAGAGCTTCTGACTTTACAGCTGAAGGACAAGGGCTCTCTGCAATGCTTCCCATATTGCTTCCAGCTCAAGAAACAGGTGCTAGTGGTTAAAGAATGTGCTCTCCTTCATCTGAGTACACAAGATCTGGGGAACAGTGCATGGAACATTCAATAAACAGAAGAAAGGGAAATACAAAAGAGGAGTGGGACTTTGGCTTTGTGGTAAGGGTGGGACTGACCCACAGCACAGAGAAACACAAGTTGGGAGGAGAGCAATGAAAGTGATATAGAATGAGAATCACCAGAGATACAGTACTACTTGAATTAGAAGGAAAAAGACACTCATAATGAAGAGGGTATACATGGTTATTGTGACATCAGTCTTGCTGCTGATTTCTCAATGGCAGGGAATAACTGTATAATAATTATTATTTTTAAAGAGTTTATTATTTTATTTTATGTTTATGGTACTTTGCCTATGTGTATATTTTCATACCATATGCATGAGACCAGAAAAGGGATGTCAGATCTTTGAGCACTAGATTATAGACATTGTAAGCTTCCATATGAGTCTAGCAATGAAACTCAAATCCTCTGGAAAATCAGAACACAAGTCTGGCATTTTAGAATACAGATATGGAGCATTCTACCATTAAAGGTGCATCTCTCCTTTTTTTCAATGCACTTATGTTGAATCCTGAGCCTTGTCTAAGCTTTGCTGCAATGAAAAAGACCAAGTCCAATGCCTTGAATAACATCTTTGATTAAACCAGTGAAAACATAAGTAACTTAGGAAGCAGCAGGATATAACTCAGGAAAGTCATCCATATTTATACACTCAGATAACAACTCATTACAAGATGGATTATATAACCAGAGTTGAAATAGCTATACAAGCAAACAAACACAAAATATTGCACATAAATGCTCATGGTATCTTATCATTTAATCTGGTCAATATCAGGAGGGTTCAGTTCTTCCCTGACAAGTCTCTCCAAGATAATTTGTACCTTACATGACTAACAATGGTAACATTCTCTTTGATAGCTAGACCAGTTGCCTTACAGTTAATGTGGAAAAATATCCAAGAGCCATAATGTTCTGAGAAAAAAGGGAAAGTGAGTATGATTCATTGGGGGATGGAAGAGGTGAGATAAGCATATCAAAAATCCCACGATAAAGCAATTCTAAATTTCCTATGAGAAAAAAAATAAACGAGAAGATCTGGCACAGAGGAAATGAGACCACTAAAACATGACCAAAGAATCATAGATAGGCATGGGGGTAGAATGTACTAGAGAATAAATGTAGTATTTCACATCTGTAGGGAAACAGAATCCTTCTGATAATCATCTAACAATCATCAACTGGCTGGAGGTTAGTGATGTCATCTCATTCTATCTCAGGAATTAAATAATAACTAACACAGAAAATATATTGGTTAACCTCAGGTAGGTAA